CATTTTATAATTTTTAATGAAGACAACTGTTCAGATTCTAAACTTGATGCTGGGTTGGGTCCAGCATCATAATGAAATTATTATTATAATAAAATTATTATTTTCATGTATTTACCTCCCAGGCCCCTGAAAGGATACTTAGGAGAACTTTAGTATTCTAAAGCAAAAGAGCCTGTTACCATCTATTGTAGGAAAGAGTAAATTACCAGAATGTTTCAAATGCAATTTTAAAATAAAGAAAGCAATTGGATAGAAAATGCCATCATGTTCATTTGGTGACAGAATTATGACAGAAATTTTCTCTATCCTTGAAAGTATTAAAAATCAGTGTTAGCCTTGCTGTTAAATTAAACCATTTTAAACAGCATATTGGTCTTGATGCTTTCTTAAGTTAATTAATTTTTAGTTATTTCAAAAACTGAAAATTATTTTAGGCCATTCTTCATTATTGGGCAAGTTTTTTGCTGGAAGATGAAATTAACTTTCATCTTGTGGTCTTTACACTCCAAAATGGTATCAAAACAATGGTAAGATCCATGTATTTTCAAATTTTCTACTTTATTAGCTACAAATAACATAGAAGTTACTTTGTGTATTTAAACCATTATATCTGACGTATGCTAACTGTAAGAATGAATCCATAAAGAAAGACATGATTTGATGCCTAGCACAATTTGGAGATTCTTAAAGAGTCTGATGTAATAGAATAGTGTAGAATCTTTGTCCCAGAATTGCTGTGGCTTCAGCTGGGATGTGCACCTGTCTTCCTTTGGCCTGTGCACTGAAGAACGGCCCTGAGAGCTTTGGTGGCAGAATCATTCCTACTCTTGTGTACATTAAATTTTCTGAAATATTTGAGTACTTGTTCAAATGAGCATTCTTGAAGAGACAAATCTTTATATAAATACTTACCAACATGCTGCAACTTTCATTCTTCTTTAGTATTTTTAGTTTTGGGACACCACCTCACATATAATTATGATTTTTAAGATTTTTTCACTTTAATATTCAGAGAGAATTTAATAAAGAATTACTATTATCAAAGGATTCTGACCTGTACATTTTATTACTTAAGATCGGATTACTCATTGGCTTTATGCTGCATCATGCACATAAAAATAAAGAACATGAAAAGTGTCCTAAACATGCAATTTTATAAGATACAAGCTCTTAGTAACACAATGCTCAGTTTTACAACATCATCCCTTACATTATTAGCTTTATAATTTACCAGCAGAATTATAGGAAGATATTTGTGTAGTTCCTACTATCCAGTGCTGTATATGATGATTTTAGAGGTCACAACTCGGTTCTAACAAGTCAAAGGCTCAAGAACCCTTATTGAATTCATAAAAGAGGAGGACACAGGACAACTGTCCCCAACATTGAAGAGCAGCAAATGAACCCAGGGAGTCACACATGAGAAGATTAGAGACTCAGGAGCAGAATCCACTAACAGAACCAGCGCCCGGGTACAAAATCTGAATTGGCATTGATGAAGTGCTGGAGTTACCACGTGGACAAGCCTGAGAGTTCACTTCAGGAAACCCACTTATTGGGACACCCTATAATATTGTGAGGTAATATTTTGTGTAAATATAATATTGTGAGAAGTTTGACCATGTTCCCAGTAAATATTGGAGAAAAATCTTCTGCTTCCAACAGAAGGAGGTGGAAAAACACCATTTTGAGGTATCACAGAGCACTCTGCTCTTCCTCACAAGGCATTCCCTCAGACAATGAAAGCCTCAACTGCCAGGGTATTCTCAAAGCCTAACTGACCTGGTGGAAGGGAATTCTCCATTGCTAACCCTCTCTAGATATCTTGTTCCATGTAAGGTGGGGGGCGGGGGGAGAAAAAAAACTGAGAAACGCTTGTTAGGTTCACAGTCCAGAGGTACAGGTTCACTAAAAGACTGAGATCTAATCATAGAATTGTAGAATACCTCCCCTCTCCCCACATTAAGGCCTATTTACAGCAGTACCTTTTACCCAGTATATCATGTCCAGCTATCAAGAAAATATCACATGGCCTGCTGAAAGGCAAAACCAACCAAAAAAACAATCAAAAAAACACCAAGACAAAAGCCCATAATTTGAAAAGAGAGAGGAAGCATCAGAAAGAGACATGGCAGGGATGTTGGAATTATCAGACCAAGTATTTAAAATAACTATGATCAATATGCTAAGTCCTGTAGTGGATGAAACAGCATGCAGGAAAAGATGGGCAATGTAAATAGAGAGATGGAGATCCTAAGAATCTGAAAGAAATCCTGGAGATCAAAACCATTGTGACAGAAACGAATAAGCTTTGGTGGGCTTATTAGTAGCCTGGACACAGCTGAAGAATGGTATCTGAGCTAGAGGACATCACAATAGAAATCTCCAAAACTGAAAAGCAGAGAGAACAAAGACTGAGAAAACACAACAGCATATCCAAAGACTTTACAACAAAAGGTGTAACGTGTGTAGTGGGAATACCACATGGACAAGAAAGAGAGAAAGGAACAGAAGAAAGATTTGGAGAAATAAAGACTAAGAATTTCCCCCAAATGAATGTTGGACACAAAAACACAGTGTAGAATGTAAAGCAGGATAAATGCAAACAAAACAAAATAAAAACATAAAACAACCAACCAAACAAAAAATGACCCCTACACCTACACATATTATTTCCAAGATACAGAAAATCAAAGTAAAATCCTTAGAGAAGTCAGAGGGATAAGACACTTTACCCATAGAGGAAAAAATGTAAGGATTATACTTCTCAGAAATTATAGAAATGAGAAGAAAGTAGATTGAAACATTTAAAGTGTTATGGGGGAAAAACAAAAAAACTAACAACCTTGAATTCATACCCTATGAAATTATCCTTCTAAAATGAAGGACAAATACTTTAACTTTCTCACACAAACACAGATCAAGAAAATTTTATTTTTTTGCCAGAAAACCTACTTTGGAAAAAAAAGTTAAGTTTTTAGAGGAAGGAAAATAATCTGTCAGAAACTCAAGTCTACAAAAGGGAAAGAGAGCCTGAGAGAAGAAGTGAAGGTCAAATAAAAACTTCTAAAGTTACCAAGGATAAATAAAGGCATCATCTAACAATAAAGGAGTCACTTCCGCAAGGAAGCATGACAATCCCTAATGTGTACGCACCTAATAGAACGTCAACAACATCAAACAAAAACTAATACAATTGCAAGAACAGATGAATCCACTATCATAGTTGGAGATTTCTACACCCATCTGTTAGAAATGGATAGATCCATCAGGCAGACAATAAATAAGGTCATGGTTGACCTCAATCATTCTTGCTGTCGTGGAAGTAGAAGAAAACACGAGCAACGTTTGTAATAAAATATTTTTAGGACCCTGGGAGAGATAGTTGGTATTTCATGCAGCGTCACATATTTAATTTCTGCAAATTATTGTAATTCCAGTTAATACACTTTTTACCTTTTCTGTTTCACAATTTTCACATCTCTAAAATGAGGATTACGTTTAAAAAAAAAAAAGTTTCAGTGATTAATGACTTTTGCTTTAGGCAGCATTTCCCAAGCCAAACTGTATTGAATAAGAAGCTTCCTAAATTCCCTACCAGACCCTGAGGAGCAAAGATGAGAAGAAAGAAGAAATAAAATTATGTCGACCAAATAGGTGTTTGGAGGAGGAAATGTGTGTAATGCTAAAATATCTTCTCATTGATTTTGGGACTGGGAACCAGATCTGTGGAGAAATAAATTTGCACAAGCCATGGAAATAGCTATGTGTAGCAAACTAAAATATTCTTTTTTCTTTTAGTCAAAAATACTTTATTCAGAATTTTAATGTTTGGGAAATTTGTTAAAAATATCAGAAGGCTCTAAAGCACATGCCTAAATAGGATCACAGATCACTATAAAACTTAATGTTTCATTATTTATTTAACCAAGGTGGTAACAATGGATTTCATAGGCAAAAACATCAGGTTATCTAGTTGTTAGCAAAGCTTTGCTCCTTTAATTTTGAGAAATTTTAACTGTTTCACGTAGTCAAAGACCTGATTAAAGACAAAACAGAAACTTTGCCTACAATTTCTTATTAAGAGCAGAGCAATAATCCAAGAAAACTTTGTCTTTTTAGTAGAGAGAGAAGCCAAATTTCAATTTTATACCAGTGTACTTTTAAAGCTCATTTATTCCAATCCTAGTCAGTCCTCACCCTGGAAAAAATTTTTCCAGAGATTCCCCCTCACAAATCTTTTACAAGTTTTTTCTTTTTCAATACAGATTTTGTTGTAAGCCTTCTGTGTTTAAATAAACAGTTTCATTTTAGGACAAAATCACTTTCTTTTCCCTCAACAAAAATGTATTTTCATTCCTTATGCCTTTTTATACACCTCTTACTTTCTTACATACAGAGTTGCTTCCCTGAGCCATTCTAGCATCTTAATTACATTTATCAGAATTTTAATTCTTAGAAACTTTAGTTTCTGAAAACTAAGTAGTAACAAATTGTGAACTGTCCTACTCCCACATCTTCACAAGCCTCTCTAGATAATCAGCTTTTTTTTACCTGAACTTATTAGTTCAATTCAAGTTGCGATGGGTGCAATTTGCCAGCAAAAATGACCTAAGACAATGGTTGATTTTGTCTCTGGAAGTTTTCATGGCTAATCGTTAAGAACAAGTTGGTTAAAAGATAAAAAGTTTTGTAGACAAACTATTAAATAGCTTTCAAAATCTTTGGCTCACCTAACACTTTGAAGTTTTGCTAGGTTAAATGATAAATTGAGTTGAATTTATTGGATATATAAGTCTTTTCCAAATGAGATAAAATACTGAAACATTAACTACTAAACATAGGTTTAAAATATTCTATTTTAGTGCTGATGTCAGGATAATCTTCTAAGGTGTCGACTATTACACGATGTGTCAAGATCACGGTAATTTTGGATTGCATATCTTAAAGTCCGTTAATTTCCTTTTTCTCTTTACCATAAATTGGGAAATGTTTTCCAGGTACCTCCAGTGGGCGCTGTGACTTTGAGTTTGACCTTTGCTCTTGGGAGCAGGAGCAGGATGATGACTTTGACTGGAATCTGAAAGCTAGCAGCATCCCTGCTGTAGGCACAGAGCCAGCTGCTGATCACACCTTACGAAGCTCCTCTGGTCATTACATCTTCATAAAGAGCTTGTTTCCTCAGCAGCCCATGAGAGCAGCCAGAATTTCAAGCCCAGTCATAAGCAGAAGAAGCAAAAACTGCAAGGTAAGAGAAAAACCCGGAAACGTTGTGAGTGACTGCTGAGAGCGCTAATACAGAAAATAGGATGGCCAAGACCAGACCAAAGCTGAGATTGAATTTCTTCAACGTAGGATATGTATGGAAAGGAGAAAAGTACAGTAAGGATGAAAGAGAAGGATTGTTAGAACTGGGAAGAATTTATCCTATTGATAAGTTCCATAGGTATTTGAATTTTGAAAACCACTGGAAAACTTCATGGTTTTTATCTGTAAACTATGGATAGTACAGAAGAAGTAAAATGCAGTTGCTTCCCCTCAAGGAATTTAGTACTTACTGGAATTATGAGAATTTCACTGTCAGAAAGAAAATTCAAGTAGTATATAAATATTCCCAAGAAGGAATATTAGAGATAGTTGGAGCCACTATAAAGTGGTTGAAGAAGTCTTCATGAAAAAGGAAAGACTAAAATTAGCACTAAAAAAGGGTAGAAGAACTTCTGTAGGCAGGAGGAAAAGATGGTTTGGCTATTATCCTGTGTAGCTTTAAGGAAAATGTTAGTACTATTGAAAGTATAAATAGGATTGTATGGTTCTTTGGGACAACCACCCTCTATGATGACTGTGTATCTTCAGGTCCTTCACTTTTCTTTCTTTCTTTTTTTTTTTTTTTTAAAGATTTTATTTATTTATTTGACAGAGAGAGACACAGCAAGAGAGGGAGCACAAGCAGGGGGAGTGGGAGAAGGAGAACAAGCAGGGGGAGTGGGAGAGGGAGAACAAGCAGGGGGAGTGGGAGAGGGAGAAGCAGGCTTCCCACTGAGCAGGGAGCCCGATGTGGGGCTCGATCCCAGGACCCTGGGACCATGACCTGAGCTGAAGGCAGACGCTTAACGACTGAGCCACCCAGGTGCCCCAGGTCCTTCACTTTTCTTTATTGATTGTTTTTATGTCACAAAGGATTTGAGTCAGCTGAGTTAAGATCTAAACTTAGCTTTACATATAATGTAAATTAATCTCTCAGAGATGACTTCACAAGAATCTTGCTTACAAGAGAATGGTATATGAATAAATGTGCCATTTATATTTACAATGAGAAATTTTGTCTCCATAAGATCTGAACACACATATTCTGACTGGTGAGTTCTGTGTTTGAACACTGAAAGGAAAGCAAATTACATTCAGAAAGTTGTCAGCTGATCAAAGAATCAGGCTGGAAGATAATAGCATGATTGAAATCTTTATTGTCTTCAAAGTATAATATCTTTGTGTACCCGCCTCCACCACAGAGCCCTATCCATCACAGAGCCCTAACCTTTGGAAGGAGGCGTTTTAAACCTTTTCCCTAAGGCTCCCCAAATTCCTTGCACCCATTACATTGCTCTTCTGTTTTGTACTGAGCAGCCTTCACTTCCTACCATTGTTATGGTTTTAATACATGCTAAACTTTTAGTTTGTGTTGGAAGTTTTTCTGTCTTATCTTAAGTTGATTTCCTAGTTTAACTCTTAGTGGGTGACCTCATTTCTGTTATCTCTTGAGGCACATTTGATAGAATTTTCTGCAAGAGAATGACATGATCAGATCAGAGTTTTAGAGTTAACTCAGCAGTCTAAAGCAGATATAACAAATTATACAGAATAACAATAAACTTTATCAAATTAGTTTAGCAAACAAATGAATTTTAATCGAATATATTTCTTGTCTGTTTTTGTTGTTTTCCAAATTCCTTGATAACTCTCCAAAACAAAGGCCAAGCACACCAGATTTTATGTCAAGTCTCTATCTATAAATCTCTCTACATCCATAGATATTCTGAAATTTACAAATTTGTTTTAGTCTTAGAAAGCTAATTAAAAATTAAACATAAAATGTATAACATTCCAGCTTCACTTTTTGGCTTTTCTACTTAGGCTTCCTCTGAAAATGCTCCAAAGATTTGTTTTTCATACTGTAGTAACTCAGGATTTCATCCATCTCTATTTTTCCCTGGTCCTGGAACTGTAGTCCCCCACTGTTTTAAACATCTGTGTGAGAATAATGAAATATGCCTAGAAGAAATGTCAAAAAATTAATGATGAATGGTTCATTTTATGAATATTTATGATATAGATTGAATACAAAGAAGTGAGGAAAGGTCATGCTGGGAATGATTGTGTCGCTCATATAAAAAATATGTATATCAGGTAAGCAGAGTGACCTCCCAAATTTCGTGAAAAAAATTTCTGTCACTTGATCTTGTGGAATACCTTCAAGCAGAACAAAATCAAATTGAAGACTTTTCTTCCTTTTTAGGGATGGGTGGTGGGAGGAATGAGACAGATCAATGTGGGAAGAGATGAGACCTTTGAGTAACTCTGAAATTTCCAGAGAAAGTGCCTCTCTAGACGAATCTCATACGTAGCAGAGTTTTATTCCCTCACAATGCCCTGCGATTAGACTATGTTGTTGTCAGGTGTTTTCTGTAGAAATAGAGGTGTTTATATGTTTGCATGTTAACTACATGGGATCATTCAAAAAATGACCTCAAGAAGAAAGGGAAATATTTATTGCAATTAGAAAGGTAGGCCTCAGATTTGTTGCCCAAATAAGACAAAACAAGACAGACCATTAGAAAGGCCATGTCTATGGCTGCAGGGGATCCATACAGACATGTGTTATGGGCATCAGACCGTTTTCTCTGGTATCTGTTGATGCTGTTCAAGAGGTTGGCCATGGGCGCCTTATGTTTCTTACTCTAATGAGTCATATAACCCAGATTTCGTGGGTCCTCTCTCAGAACAAGTCATAATGGTCACAGAGCTCATGTTGGGAAGGTTCATCAACAAAAGAGACAATTTTGGATCACAGAAGAGTACCTGAAGGTTTCATCAGCTAGGAAATCTGAGAAGAGTCATTTCACATGGCTTACTTATTCTAAGTTGGTGCTTTTTGAAGTGTGCATTGCATATTTTGTTTAATCAAATTCTTTACCCTTAAGCACATTCATTTCTTTCTTTCTCTAGGGTATAATAATACGTGACTGCTAGTGTTTCAAAAATACCTTTTTTCTGGTGAGTGGGGATCACTCATCTTTACTATGTTCCCTCATTCATACACATGACAAGACAAAAGCTTAAAAGTGCTGTGTAACAATTACTTCTAACAATACCCTTCTGTGTAACAATTACTAAAAATCTGGTAAACTCCATCTTTGAAACACTGAAGTGTTAATCTTTGGAAATACTTATATTAATTTTTCTTAGTGGGGGGCATGCCCAAGGCTGCTCTCTTAGATCATGTTTCTAGCATTTCAACTAAATTTGGATAACTGCTGTTCTGGTAGTTTGGTGGTATATAGTGGAGCCCTGAAGATGTAGATCTAAAAATGTGTTTCTAGTGCAAGAATATGGTAGAATAAGCAACAGAGTACTCTACTGTTTTGAAGAAAATGCTTTAAATTTTATGAGACCAAAAATGGTCTTCTTTAGTTCCTACTATTGCTTAATCATGAAAAGTCTTTAGATGATAGATCACTTTTTAATGATGTTTTATTCCTTTGGCAGTGGACTTTAAGAGTTTATTGGGAAATTCTCCATTTAGAGGTCAGAGAAAGAAAATAAACTCAGCTCAGTTTTCACCTAAATTTCTGTTTGATTCTTACTGCTCTGTCTTCCATGTATCGTTAACATGATTTAAGGCTGGCCTGACTTCACTCAGTATTAGAGTACTCACAGAACAATAGGGCATGCAGATCTAGTTTTCCTTTGAGAGTCTGTTAATAAAGGAGAGGGCAATATGATATAATTGAAAGCAAAGTGGAGTTAATCGTACTAATTAGATACAATATTCCTATTTTTGGTTACAGATAATTTTTCATTATCACATGTATGGAAATGGCATTGGGGCACTCACCTTGACCCAGGTATCAGTCTCCAACCAAACAAAGGTCCTACTTAACCTCACTGTAGAACAAGGCAATTTCTGGCAGCGGAAAGAACTATCACTGTCTGATGATGAGGACTTCCAACTTAAATTTGAAGGTCGAGTTGGTGAAGGACACCATGGTGATATTGCCCTGGATGACATTGTGCTTACAAGGAGTTGTCTATCACCCCAGTTCTCCATGAAAGAAGAACTTGCAGCACCTCTTCCAACAGGTACATTTTAAGTTGTGATTCCTTGGTATTTTTACAGCTTGGTGGAAGGGAAGGAAAAAAATGGAAAAGAAATGATATAAATACCTAGTAATTCATTGCTTTCATAAAGAAAAAAATCTAAAAAAAAAAAAATCTTTCAAGCTTTGACACATAATGCTGTCCTCCAAATTTTCTCCAAGCTTCAGTGTGTTTACCAGTTTCTGAGTTCTATTTAGTCAGCTGCTTCTTAGATCAGCAAAATAAGAGAAGACTGCTTTGTTTGCAGTCTGATTCAAAATTCAATCCTTAACAAATATCATTTTACCCAATAAAATATAAGAACATCAAAAAAAAGAGTTATTTGGTTTTAATTAGGCATGACTGTGGATGTGCCATTTATTCTTTTTAGACCTGCGGACATTGCGATTTGAACTCTTGTATTTACATATTTCAATAGTTTAGGAGATTGAATATGTCCATATACTCTTTTAAACTAAAATATATTTTGGTAATTTGTCTAAAGAATTATATTAAAATGTTGAGTTGGTGTATGTTCAATATAATATGTATAGTGACAGTGTTTTAAGAAGTGGAAATAGCAAGCACCATTAATCTGCATGATATATTAGGGGTATGGAATGAAAACAAATGCTGTGTATGTTATTAAAATGAAAAAAAAAAAAACCCAGCAGATTTTGTCAGTTGATAGGACATAGTAATATTTAAATCATGAGTTTATTGAAGAAACCAAAAGTGCCATTCCTTTGGTATATAAATTATATCTTTTTTTTCCACCTTCCTAAACTCTGTATCTTTTTTGTGTGTCTTTGTAGCTTTTTTTTTAAATTAACATATAATGTATTATTTGTTTCAGGGGTATAGGTCTGTGATTCATCAATCTTAGACAATTCACAGAGCTCACCATAGCACATACCCTCCCCAATATCCATCACCCAGCCACCCCATCCCTCCACTCCAGCAACCCTCAGTTTGTTTCCTGCGATTAAGAATCTCTTATGGTTTGATAAATTATATCTTTTATAATTAGTGAAAATGAAAGTGCTTTAAAAAGAATGAATGTTTGCTCTGGCTTTTAGCATGGTAGATGGAATAAGGAACATTGCATTTCTGCCTTTACTTCTCCATTCATGTCAAAGGGAGTATTTTAATTTGGTTAAGAGGAAGTTTCTAGATAAATGTTTCCCGCTTGACTACTAGTTGAACAGAGTCTTTTCCTGACATGTTTCCAGCACTACGTGAAATAGTATAGAGAAAAACAATGAACATTTGAAGGCTGTTCCTGTAATTGTAATGCAGGAGCATTTCAGATACCTCAGACTTCATCTACTTCCTTGAGAAAAGCTTTGCTTTCCATTCTGTGTTGACTATTTGGATGGCAGCTGTACTAGCTTGTGTCTAGGTCTGGTCTTTTGAAAAAATAATCTTATAGCATCTAAGTAGTGAGGGAGCAAGTTTTATGTTGAACCATGTTCAAACTTTAATGAACAACTACAAAGTGGGATGTGTGAAGGACAAATCAGTCTTGTTGGGAATATCAGATTCTTAAATTGTGAAATCTCGGATAAAAGTTAGTTAAAAACAACTTCCAAAAGGAAGATTACAAAGTATCTACAAAGTGGTATAAAATGTATATTATCAAATGAAGGACACATATTAATAGTGGTAGAGTTCTTTGTATATCCTTATGATACTTGAAGTATCATATTAAATTTTTTGATGAATGGAAAATAAAAGAATCTCTGCTCTTAAGAATAACTCAGTATGGTAAGGGGGAATAGGAAAAACACCTTGAGTAACTCTAATATTAGGTAGGCTATAATTAAATGCCAGGAGAAATACACAAAACTTTATGAGGATGCAAAGAAAATGAAGAAAACCCCCAGTTGAGGACATCTGATTTGAGGCTTATTTATAGGATGTGCAGGAGTTTGGAACCTCACCTAGGGCTTATAGAAGGGAAAGACTCTTCAGTTTGCTGGATAGGGGCACCATGCGTGAGCGCAGTAGACTGAATAATGAATGTGGGCACACCTAAAGCATGAGGCAGGAGAAGAGGGTGTCACACAGGCTGCCAAGGTGGCCTGTCCTGTGAGTGGGTAATTGGCTAAAGCAGGAACCTAGTATCACTGAGTGTCTGCAATAATATTACAAAAGAAATAGGGAGCTAACCTGGGACCACCTCGATTATTGGTTTGTTTCAGTTTTTTCCCAAAATGAACATGCATTGAAAGCGTATTGACTAGCCTTAGGAAACAAAAAAAAGAAAGAAAGAAGGAAGGGAAAGTAAAGAAAACAGTAAGAGTTAAAAAGGAGATACAGTATTCCTTTGCATAAAGTATGATAACTGGTAGAAATGGCTGTGGTAGAAAGACTCCAAGAGGGGGGGAAAAAAAAAGAAAAAGAAACAACCAAATGTCTTTATTTATATTATTAATGAACACTGAAAGATAAGGTGAAATACTTTAATTTTTTCATGACCCCCTTAGCTACAATGCCCACATTCAAATGCAGCAGATGAGAAATATGTGTGTATGGAGTTAACATTCCTACAGACTATTGGAAATATTTGTAATTGTGCCTCCAGAAACTAAAAGTATGTGCCTTTCTCTTAGGAAAAGTGAAAAGCTACAGCTTGTTTAGACTTGAACTGTGAAGTGATTCTAACAGACTATGACTTCATCATGAGTTTAGAGGACTCTGTTGGAGTCACTGATGTTTTTAAAGGAATGGTCTCTCTCTATGTAGATTTTGTGGGGTGGAGGAGGGTGGTATCCTGAACACACCACTGATACAGTGAATGTCTAATGGAAGTATAAAGAGAGTCACAAATGTAAACCACATATGTAATTTTTCATTTTCTAGTAATTATATTTTAAAAAGTGAAATTAATATATTTTCATTAACCTAATATATCAAAAATATTATCATTTCAATACAAAACATTAGAACAATATTAATGAGATATTTTACATTCTGTGTATTTTATACTCACAGCACACTTCAAGTGGGATTAGCTACATTTCATTTGCTCAGTAGCCACTTTTGGCTAATGGCCACTGTAGTGGACAGTCCAGGAGGGGAAGTGAATATTCTAGGGCATTTTCAGGTCTGTCTACGGGGTTTCATTAGTTAAGGCAGAGTTTGTGAATATCCAAGAATTGCAGTTGTATTCTTTTTTAAATAGAAGCACAAATACGTTCCCCAACACCAAATGTGAAAGCACAGGTACCATGTTTGAGCAGACTAGCTACTAATCTGAGACTCCCTTCTTACCACTATGTATTACATAACTGCCCTGAGACTCAGTTTCCTCATCCATAAAACAGAGAGCGTATCACTTATTTCTTAGGCCCCTGAGAATAAAGAGGTCACTGCCCATGTAATTTGCCTAGTCTCATGTCTGGTACATGGTAGATGTTTATTCAATAAAATGAACTCATATTATCCTTTATTTTGGGCATCTTTGTCAGTTTTCCTTAGATGGCATAGATATTTGAGAGTAAGCTTCCATTATTTACACTTTATTAAGAATATGTTTCTATAATATGTTTTGACAAAAAGGTTTTTTCTGCAGAGATCACAAACATATAATTTTTTCATGTTGCATTGTGATTATTCAATCTTATCACTTACTGACTGTCTAAATATTTTTGGTGTGTCATGAATAACGTGTGTGTATGTGTATCTTGGAAAGGCTTAATGGTTGCTAATTTCTCTTTACTGCAAAAACACTTAACTTGGAACTTGCACAGATTGAAGAAGGGTAAATGGCGTTATGTGCCGTAAACAGTGGCTACGTCCGTTAAACTTTTGAAATAACTCTTATTCAAATACTTTTCATCGATATTCATGTGGGTAGGCTAAGAACTCCATCAAAGATAGTTTAAAATAGAAAAGAGAAGAGGTGGCAAAACATACATATGTAGGAAGATGCAATTGAACTGAATCTGGAATCAGTGATTCTAATTAGTCAAATAAGACCCAGGGTTTTCTTAGCAAAAGTAATATTAAATTACTATTAGGTCTGTAGAAGTTATATTTAAGATCTTATTTTGATGGCAATTTTGTTAATTGCTAAGTGATGATGGATAAAAATAATTGTTTAATGAATTTTAATAAGAGAAAGGCAACCAAGATCCGTCTTCTAAATGTCCATATTCAAATTTAGTCACTATCATACTCTCTGTATTGTTGGCAGACATTTAATAAAAATTCCGAGTATAATGAAGGAAGGGAGCAGGTGTATGTGTGTGCGTGGGTGTGTGTGTGTTTTAAACTGATAAGAACAGATACTACACTTGATCTTAGCCAAAAGGCCGAGAAGCGATTGTGTGTGTGTTTTAGATCCCCACAGTCATTTCCAAATATGAGTTATACAACAAATATATTTTGAGATATCACATGCTAATCAACTTTTGCTTTAAAAAAATGTAAAGCAATGGCTCCTCTTTGAGGTCACGCATTTCCCTGAAATATTTGGCAGTAGTTAAAAGGCTGCTACCTACTGATGAGAGTGCTGGCAAAGCAGCTCAGGCAGAGTCCTGAGTTAGGAAAATCTGGCTGATTGTGCTTGGTTCTAATTTAGTGAACCCTGTACACAATGCTTAGTGCAAAATGCGCGTGTCTGAGGTTTAAAGATACGGACATGGACCTTTGCAAGGCCCACTACATGTGTAATGTCATCTGATCTGCTTAACCTCTCTAATTCTTATCTTCCTTGTCTCTAAAAATGGGACTATTGGAATTTACTTCTGAGTGATTTGAAAAATAGTTAAGATAATAATATGCAGTGTGTTTTAAACAATAGTTGGCAAATAGTTGGTGTTCAGCAAATGTTACTTCCTTCTTTTTTCCTGTTACTCCTCTTCCCTGCTAGAGAGATTATGAAGTTTAACTGTGTACATGTTGAAATTTATTAAAAGCATATTGTCTACTCACTGTTTTTTCTCCATCGTGTTCCACTTACTGCTCAAAGCAAGGGTTCACACCCCCTTTGCATT